ACCGCTAACAGCGCCCGCTGTCTCTTGCAGGCCCCCTCAGAACAGACTGTTAGCCATCACAGGCCCTGGTGGAGGTAGAGGGCGTGGGAGCTTATTGCTAAGGTAAGGAGCTGCACAAACGGGCAGCGGGGTTTCTTCCGCCCTTCACCCCGGCATTGGTTTGCTGACCTTATGCTGGGGTGTTTTATATTTCTCGTCTGATCCTGTTGCTCGCCGTACTGCTGTTTCAGTAAGCAGGCACAAAACCTGGCCTACAGGGCATTTGGAGTTTTATGTCACCACCTGAAATTTAGAGTAGCTTCTCATTCTGAGTTATAACAAGTTTAAACTGGTGGTTTTCCCTAGCCCTTTCAGCTGTTAGCCTGAAAAATAAGAGGAAACATCGGAGTTAAGGAAGGTGTTATGTGGTATCTAGGACCTTGTCTCTTTCAGAATGTTCAAAATCAGTCTCTCAGTAATTAAGAAACTGGTAGCTGTTCCAGGAGGAATAGAAAGAGTTGAAGTAGACAGGAATTTTAAAACAGATGTAGGTAAAACCATTAGTGTTTTGTTGTGGGTTTCTTTTTTTTTTTTTTTTTAACTTTTTTACCTCCTTTCCCCTGCCCCCTCACCTCAAGTAGAATCAAAAGGCCAATTTTTGTTCAGTAGTTCTTTCTAAATGGAGTATGTAGTGGATTTTTTGATTAATTTCAATATTAAACCGCTGCTTAATACATACTGAAAATTATTGCAAATACGAACGCTTGAACATAACGGGGCTCCTTGTTTTAGTGTACCTACTCAATTAAGTAAGTGCAGAAATTCAAGTTTAAATTAGTTGGTCCACAAGCAGTATGTTTAAACACTTTATTGCAGTAATAACAGTAAATGATGATAGAGCTGAATAAAATTTATTGTTACATCGTGACCACAAAGCCAGAATACGGTTTGATTGTGCAGGTTTAAGCTGGACCTGGGGTTAGCCTAACTTGTTCTGAGATCACAAGTATTTTCTTTTTAGGCGTGGATTCTCGGATAGTGGAGGAGGACCCCCAGCCAAACAGAGGGATCTTGAAGGGGCAGCCAGTAGGTGAGTGCAAAAACTGATGCAGAGAACTTGCTTTATCAGAATGAGAATTTATAATGGTAAATTTAAAATACTTAGATTCAATAACTGTTAATAACTGATGACTTTCACTGTTGTCTTCAGAGATTACATATTCAAGACTTGTTGGAAATGTGTTTGGATTATAGCAATTGACTGTGGTAAAATCTTTTTTTTTCATACCTTATAGCAATATAAAGATTATAGCAATAATATAAAGATATAGCAATACAAAGATGCCTGGAATTTTCTCTTTTACTTGTTGTACAGTCTGCTATATTATATTCTGCTTAGTAACCCAGATTTGCTTTACAGTAGACACAAATTGAGTTATGACTGAGATCTTCTGTTCAATAAATTGAATGCATACAGTCTGACAATAGACTCGGATTTTGAGCTTTCACATCTGGATGCAGATCTGTCAGATGTGACTGATTATAGTGACCTTCATTATAGTGAGCTTCATTCTATGGGCACTTAACTGCAATGGCAGTTCTTGCCTAAAGCAAGGCTTGCTTTTGAATTTTTGAGTTATTGCAAAATTAATACTGTGAAACGGCTTTACCAGTAGTAAAGTGCTGTGCCACAAAGCTGAGAGTGAAAGCTGAAAATCACTTTTACTTAATACACGGCCTAGTTGTTCTTTGTGAAAGCCTCAGTTCATGCAAGTTCTCAGGTCCTAAGTGCTCTGCTCCTCCTCACCTGTTTTCTAGGTATTTGGCTAGGTAACTTAAATAGCATTTTCCATTTGAAAGAGCATACCAACCTTTATATCTTGATGCATTTAAATCTGTCTCACGATCCCCTTATAACCAGTAGCCATTTTGGAGATTCGGGAAAAAGAAAAGTGCAGATGTTAAATGTAAGAAATAAATTCCAAAGGTATTCTAAAAAGTCAAATCTGGTAGTAATGTAGGCTCTTCTGTTTTACTTTACTGTGCAAGTTGTATTAAAACTTAAACTGTTTTCTCTCACTGATTTTTACCAACAGTAGATTCTGTCTGTAAAGTGTTACTTACCGGTCATTGGAACAGCAGGGAGATTTTTACCGAACATTTTGGTTCTTCTGACTAGATATGCTGACTTGTATTTTTCTCGTGTTAGAACACATGCTGTCCTAAATATATGTTCTCTAGTGACCACTAATGCTTTTTCTTCCTCAGGCTGGGTGGAGAACGTCGGACAAGAAGAGAATCACGCCAGGAAAGCGACGCAGAGGATGATGATATTAAAAAGGTAATACATGATAAATGGAGCTGTGCAGGAAGAAACTGACTTATCTGGAACATGAACAAAGTAGTTTGTTTTTCTTTGTTGTAGCCAGCGTTGCCATCTTCTGTTGTTGCTACCTCCAAAGAGCGAACACGTCGAGACCTTATACAAGATCAAAATATGGATGAGAAAGGAAAACAAAGGTATGCAGAAATCTCTTCTAAGCACTAACATGGTACTTCCGAGTGCTAGCATAGGAAGTAGCTTTAGATTTAAAAAGTATTATACAGATGCTCTCAGGTAACAAATGGTATAAAATTGATTTTAAAAAATATTCTCTCAAAATACTTCACAGCAGTAACAACACATCGTTCACTTCACGCAACTGACGGGTTCTGCTTCTCAGGCCACCTACAGGACTAGGTTTGCTAGTGCTATTGTAACTGATGGTCTTTGAGTAAGACAGAAATATATATAGCTTCATTGGTTACTTAACATTTTGGACTGTTACAACTGTCTTGGTACATAATTTATTTTGCTGGTTGAAGGGGGCTTTTGGGTGTGGGTTTTTCCCTTCTTTTTTTTTTTTTTTAAACACAGTAGTTCCATCATGTGTTGCTTTTCTCTTACTACTTTCAGACTCATTATTGTGTGTACCATCTCGCCTTCCTTTTGCCTGCTTCTTTTTACATTCCTCCTATGTATATCTCCTTTTTCCTACATTTTATTTGTGTCAGGGTAGCTCATCAAAATTCTTGGTGAAATGCAGTTCTATTGGGAAGAGGTGTTGGAAAAGCAAATTTGCAACTGTGTCCAACCTCTTGGACTCCATCCACTTCAGTCTGCAGCTCACCTGGTGCAATAATAACCCATACCTCAAATAAATGGAAGAATGAGAGCTGGAATAAGGAACTATAGAGAGCTTCTCTGATAAGAACCACAGATCAGTTAGCACAGACAAGGCACTTCGCTTGCTTCTTTTACAATTACAACAGCCCTAACAGACTGCTGTTGTTTCCATCACCAGTTTCCAACTGCTTTCCTCACAGAAAGACTTTCAAAATTCTTAGTGGACTTCCTAGAGTTTCAGGCACTAAAAGTTTGTTTCCTCAGAATTGTAGTTTTACTGTTTTGTGCTTTAGTAGTCTTCTGGGGAGGTGAGAAAACCAGTATTGATCTCTGTGTGACTTGTGGTGGAATGAGGCTCCATAAGAGGACAGCATCCATTGAATTCTTGATTTTGCTCCATGTCTTCTGGGATGTCCTTCATATACAAATACACTTTGAGTAATCTCTAGGTCTCAATTGTTTATTTGTTCCGGTTTCTACTGTTTAATATAAAAGTACCTTTACTTTTCCACATCAGGTTTGTGCCACTATAGTAGAGGGGTACTGAGTGAAGAGAGTAGCATTTCCTTTCTCTCTTAATTGGGTAAAAGTTCAAGGCGAATAAGAGAGTCTGCCTCTCGCTATAAAGGCTTAATTTGGGATTAAATGGAAAGAAAGGAAAGATGAAATTCAAGAAATTAAATCTTGTTCAGAAGAAGGGAATTCCTTCAAGAATTTTGCTTGTTTAAGTTTTCTCAAAACACAACTTAACTGGATGAGAGGAATTCTGATTTCATCCCACAGTGCAGTGTCTCATTGTAGAAGATACTGTTAGGCAAACTGTGACAGATAAGCTTTCACTCCCCTGTGGCTCCATTTCTCCTTAATCCTCTGAGCGGGGCGGGGGGGTATGTTTTTCAGAAAGGCCCATGACCTTCCAGTTCACTGCCTTATTGATAGCTCACACTGTATTTACTCAACCTTTTCTTCAGTACTCTCTACTTTTGGAATATTTTTTTTTTAATATTTCCTTAGTGTCATTATTTCCAGATGTAAAATGTGCAGGCTTCCAACTTTCCCAGTGCTAACCGTGCTGTGTTACGGATAAGAGCTGTGTCTTACTCTTAAGCAAAATATGATATGTCACTGTAAATTATATCCTTGGCTGTTGGCACAGTCAATATGTGTTCTATTGCTAATGGCCTTTAGTAATACTGAGCCTTTAAAAATAAACGTCTCTGAGGTGGAAAGTGTCTCTGATTGTTTACGCAAATAAAAATCTTAGTACTTGAACTGAATCTCAAACTTCTTTTTGTTTTTATTCAGGAATCGACGTATATTTGGCCTGTTGATGGGCACTCTTCAAAAATTTAAGCAGGAGTCCACGGTTGCTACTGAGAGGGTACTTATTTTTAGTTCTATCAGATTGCAAATAATAAAATTGTGTGGTTAAGCTGCTCCAAATAGGAATGGAAATTCCGCATGGTGTAGGTTGCAGGTGCAACATATTGGTAAGAGTGCATGTAGGTTTTCATTTGGTTTAGTTTAGTGGAATTGGAGGCAGGAGAGGGACTCCAACAATTTCATGACTCTTACAACACTATTTCTGATCATTGTGGAAGTGAAAAGGCAGTGTTTTGATGATTGTTTTTTTTTTAATTGCTGAACATTTTTAAAACATGTAAACCACGAGATGATTATCTTTTTTCTTGTTTACATTATTTGGGGATCATTTTAAAGTGAATGGCATTTAATCACGTAACTATTTAATAGATCATAGGCTACTTCTGTAAATAACGGTGAATCAGTATTGCTGAAGCAGTGCCCACTCTGATGTGTTCCAGATGTTTAAATTAAACCAAGTATACAGAAATGTATGGTTGTATTATGCTATCCATTTGCCTACAAATGGTTTCCCCCTCCCAGTACAGATAACAAGAATTCCTGGTTTTAATAAATGGATATGTGATTGTACTGAAGTGAAGGCTTTGCATAGCTTAGTGATAACTTTGAAAAACTTGTATATAGGATGCTGGTAACTTTATTCTGAGTATACTCTTTTAAATTGTGGAGGGTATGGTATTTGCTTACTGTTGCCCTAAATGGGTTATTCAGTTAGTAATAATAACCTTTAGATTAAAAAGTGTTTGGAAGTTCTACTTTCAGCAGTCCAGTGGAAGCAGATACAAAGTCTTTAAACTTAAAACCTTTTCTGTGTAGTATTAGCATAGCTGGCTTGCAGTGTTGGTATTGATTACTTTCAGATTCAGTATTTGGATATCCTGCTGTTTTATCTAACTTGTCACGTAGCACATGAGAAAGGACCAAAGTTCTCTGTTGCCTGCTTGCCTTTAGAACAAAAAAGCTACTGATTAGGATGGTCTAGAAATAGGGAGTCCTTGTCTAATTTCTAGTACTATGTGTTTGCATAAAGCAACTTTGAGGAATTACTGCTCTTTGCAACATTTTTCTGAGAATTTGTATAGGAATTGTTCTCTTCATCCATAAAAACTTATTATAAATCAAAAGTTGAGGCCCGAGGAGTTTTATGACACAACTATTTTGTTATCTAGGCACTAAATTTTATTTTTTTATTAGACAACTATTGTACAATCTGAGCATATTGCTGTCTAGGACATACAAACA